AAAATTATGTAAATAGTTACGATTTTTTGCCGGTATATGTAATATCAGTTCCAAATTTCAATCAAATCTTCCATATCACAAAAAAATATAAAAGTTACGATTTTTTTGCATAGTTTGTTCTACTATCACCATTAATTTCACATTTTCTTCAGTTTCAAAGCCTATAATTTTAATAAATATCCTTGTAAGAAAAGTTGTCACTATAAGAACTTAACAACATGTGATTTGTTTTCTTACAAATCAAATGTATATAACTTAAACTTGGACATGCTCCAAAGAAAAAAAACTTGGACACGACAAATAATGTAAATCATCATTCTAACAATTTGAACTAGTCACACTTTTTGTTATTATTCCTCGAAAAGATATCGATTTTCACATACCAACCAATAATTAACATTAGTTACCTTACGAAATATTTTTTTAATTACATTCAAATGTAATCATGCAATCAACAACTAATATACCATTATAATTCATAAAAGTCAAAATCCCGAAGTTGGTGTTACATCAAACTTATCCCATTATACTATACGTACTAACTTTTTATCTGTACGGTACCGATCAGTAGATCGATAAACCCCAATTTTTTTTTTTATTATAAATGATACTGACTTGTATTGCATTGGTTGATCTATCGATATCTCTAATCTCTTGATTTAACTGTTTGTTAATTCAAACCGATTTGTAAAATAAGATAACAATTAAGATATAGATAGAATCTTTGGTGTTCATACCACTATATATCGGTTATTGGAATTAACGAATCAATACAGTGTGTCAATTTTCAATTTTCTATGTGTCATTACATACACGTATATTTAATTATTTTCAGCTGCTCTCTGATACAACAATACTTCCACCGTTTTTGTATGATTGTCAATCATTATATTCAAACAAAAAAATTTGTCGACCAATATTCTGTTATTAAAGATTTCTATTAATTTGGTGACTAAGTCCACAGGAAGACTTTTTTGTTGGATTGCTTTGGTTTATACGGTAAAGAATTGAAATTTAAGATGCAAATAAGATAAGAAACACTTCCTGCTACTCAATAGGCGTATTAATATAATATTTCAAGTTATATCAACAATCTTATTTATTCTACGTACACAACATTCACACGTACATTGGGTGCACACACAAGCACATTTCCATTTATCACCTATGTAATGAACGATGGCGAATAGATTTGAAAGAGTTGGAGTATTGACAATGACATGGATTATAGGAGTTGTTATGTTTTGTGGGGTTTTGATTCAAATAAATTGACAAATAGTGGATTGGTCTATACTATAATATGGATTAAACGAATTGTTATGTCATATATGCTATCTCTGTAAAATTGTTTACTGCGAGAAGTTATATTACAATCAAAACCATAAACGAACTAAATTCGTAAAAATTCAAGAAATGACAAAATAAGGAAACTGCAGAATCCATGTGGAGTGAATGGGAAACCCAACTATTCGTTCCGACACGTTTATC